GCTTGGGGGGTCTTAGCAGCCGTTCGCACCGTGCCCGTCCCTTCACTCAGCAGCATGTGTGCACCTGCTGTGCACCCTCTGTGCACCCTCTGTGGGCCAGGCACGGTGCCGGCGTGCGTGTGCGTAGATGCTGCCACACAGCCCTGTCCCTGTGTCCCCTCCTGCACAGGGGCTGTTGGAGCAGACTGGGGGCTGTGTCCCTGCAGAGCAGTGTAGCTGCCAGCACATCTCAGGAGGAGTTAGGGTGACCCTGGCCCCTGGGGACCACCTGCGCCTGGGCTGTAAAGAGTGGTGAGTGATGGGGGTGGGGGAGGTAGCATCAGGGGGCCGGGCCGGCGGAGTGAATTGGAGAGAGGGAGGGGCCACCCACAGAGAAGGCCAGGCTAAGCCCCGTACCCCGTCCTGTTGCAGCTGAGCCTAGAGCTCAGGTCACCCCCACATGCTCACTGCTCTGGGCTGGGTCCTGCCTCCCAGAGCCCACCCTGCCTGTCCCCTCCCGCAGTGAATGCCAGCACGGAGAGCTGCAGTGCACCAGCCAGGGCTGTCAAGGTAATTTTGGGCTAGGGAGACCGACTGTCCCCATTTGCCCAGGACTGGGGGGTTTCTGGGACCTGGAACTTTTAGTACCAGGACTGGGACAGTCCCAGACAAACCAGGACGGCTGGTCACCCTACCCAGATCCTCCACACCCCCTTAGTCTTCCTGGTGGTAACCTGAGCCCCTCCCTCCCTCTGCACCGGGGTCCCTGAGTCTGGGGGATGGTCGCTGGGAAGGCACCCACCACACGCTGTCTGTCCTAGGTCTTCTGCCTCTGAGCGGCTGGTCTGAGTGGTCACCCTGTGGGCCCTGCCTGCCCGCCAGTGTCCTGGCCCCTGCCTCCAGGGCCGCCTTAGAGGAGCGGTGGCCGCAGGACCCAGCTGGCCTCTCTCCCACCTTGGCACCTTTGCTGGCTTCAGAGCAGCACCGCCACCGCCTCTGTTTGGACCCTGAGACAGGGAGGCCGTGGGCCGGGGACCCGGACCTCTGCACGGGGCCGCTCAGCCAGCAGCGCCTCTGCCTGGACCCTGGAGCCTGCGGCGGTAATGGGGCGGGGCGTGGACCAGCAGGGGGAGGGGCTTGGGATGGCCAGGAGAGGCTGGGCCATGTTGCTCGGTTGGGTGGCCAGGCAGTGGTCGGACCTGCTGACCCTCCTGCTTGCCCCCAGGGCCTGCTGGATTTGAGGCTGGGTGGGGCCACAGCAGCTGGAAAGAGGGTGCCAGGAGCTCAGGGCACGTGCGAGTGTCTGCAGGGCTGCAGCCCAGGGCCTTGGGGTGGAAGCAGGAAGAAGGGCCCTGGGTTCTGACTTCCGTTTTCTCTCCCCAGACTTGTGCCAGTGGAGTCCTTGGGGGCCCTGGAGCCCCTGCCAAGTGCCCTGCAGTGGGGGGTTCCGGTTACGCTGGAGAGAGGCAGAGGGCCCCGCCAGAGGAGGTTGCCGGGGGCCATGGGCTCAGACCGAGAGCTGCAACACGGGGCCCTGCCCAGGTGACCCCCGTCCTACCACACACGAGCTGACACCTGAGGGGGATGTCTCCTCGCTGCCTCTGCCCCTGGAGGCGTGCAGTGGAAGACAGGGCGCTGTCCTGGGGGCCAGGAATGTCCCCAACACTGACACCTACCTCCTGGTCCTCAGGGGAGAGCTGTGAGGCCCGGGAGACCGTGCTCACCCTTGGCTGTGCCAACCAGTGTCCTAGAAGCTGTGTCGACCTCTGGGACCGTGTGCAGTGTCTGCAGGGACCGTGCCGCCCAGGTGGCCGGGCTAGGCCTGGGAACGCTGGGGGAGCCGGGGCCCACCTCCATTCCTCCTGCTCCCCGAGAGCGCGTGACCCGGGGGCAGCCCTGAGGGTTCCCGGGGTTGTGCCACACAGGGCGGGCTAATGAAGCCACGGGGATGGGGTGGAGCCAGGTCACGCGGGGCTCGGGAAGGCGGGCGCTCGGTGCCAGCCTGAGGCTTTGCACTCCATCTGGAGGCATCTGTCATGAGCACCTGTCCGAGCACCGTATCTGGCTTGTCCTCCCCACCCCACCCCTAGGCTGCCGTTGTCCCCCTGGCCACCTGGTACAGGACGGGCGCTGCGTGCCCATTTCCTCCTGTCGCTGCGGCCTCCCCAGCTCCAACGCCTCCTGGGTGCTGGCCCCCGCCGAGGTGGTGCGCCTGGACTGCAGGGACTGGTATGGCTGCCCGCCAGCGGACGGGCAGGGGGACGGGGAGCTTCGGGTGGGAGGCCTGGGCAGGCAAGTCAGGGCGCTGGGCATCGCGGGGGAGCGAGGGCTCTGTTCGCCGTGACTCGGGGCTTGAGCCCTTTCTGCACACCCTGTCACAGCACCTGCATCAATGGGTCCCTGGTGTGCCCACCCCGTGAGTGCCCAGTCCTTGGGCCGTGGTCAGCCTGGAGCCGCTGCTCGGCTCCCTGTGGTTGGGGCACCACTGAGCGCCATCGGAGCTGTGACGAGGGTCCTGGGGGGACGCCATGCCAGGCCCAGGACACAGAGCAGCGGCAGGAATGTAACCTGCAGCCCTGCCCTGGTGCGTACGTGGGCCGTGGGGGGGCTGTTTTTCCCTCCAGGGCTGCGGAGCCCAGGGCCCCGTCCCAGCTGGCATTCGCCAGGGCAGGTGGCAGTCCAGGGCAGCCCCCTCCCTGGAACCCCTCCCCACTCTCTGTGCACTGCCCCCAGAGTGCCCACCTGGCCAGGTGTTCGGGGCCTGTGCCACCTCGTGCCCACGCCTCTGCTCACATCTTCGGCCCGGCGCCCTCTGCGTGCCTGAGCCCTGCCAGCTTGGCTGTGGCTGCCCTGGAGAGTGGGTAGGTGCAGGCGCTGTGCCCCGACTCCCGCGTGGCTGGGGGTGGGGTGCGGGAGAGGCCGTGGTCTGAGTGTGACTGGAACCCGCCCTGCCCTAGCTGCTGCACAATGGCACCTGTGTGCCCCCTGCCGCGTGTCCCTGTGCCCAGCTCTCTCTGCCCTGGGGCCTCACCTTGACCCCTGAAGAGCAGGCCCAGGAGCTGCCCTCGGGGACTGTGCTCACCCAGAACTGCACCCGCTGGTGAGGGCCATGGTCGGGGCTGGGGTGG